TCCATATATATATATATATATATATATATATATATATATATATATATATAATGCTAAAGTTAGATCACCTTAGAGTGTTGAAGTAGGATTGAGTTGGAAGAGCAGAGTGAATCACTGGCTCACGACTTGATGACCTTGAGATACCTGCGAAGAGAGAACACGTGAACTAAGCCGGGGGTTGATCCGGCGGAAACCCCTCCGACGCTCAAGTTGGATGTGCGGATTGTAGAAATAGTTGAGAGAAATATGACTCGTAGTCTTATTCAGATAATATGACGTACCTTAAAGAATGAGTTCAAACCTTTATTTATACCTTAGTTGAGATTGTCGGGCCCAAACCTTACTTGGAGGTGATTGGGTCTCGAGGGTAGTGGTTTCACTATTGGGTTCGTGGTCCAGTTGGTAAAGGAATTGTAGGCCCATTGGGTTGCCCCGGGAAGCATGCTTGGCGCGCGACTGGGGAAACGTACCCGAGATTTTTTGCCTCGGGAATCGTGCCCATTTTTTTTTTGAGGGGGTTGATGTTCACCCCTTGGGGATAATGTTCTATTTTTTTAGTAGGGAAGTCATATCCGACTTTTGAGATGGGTTGTGAACCCACTTGGGGTTGAAAGGTAAGGGTGATGTCCAACCATTGGGATGAGATGCCCAACTTTAGGGTGGGATAGTCCCCAACTTTAGGATGAGGCGATCACGAAACCTTGGGATGAGATGCCCAACCTTCGGATGGGATAGCCCCCAACTTTAGGGTGAGGCGATCACAAAACCTTGGGATGAGATGCCCAACCTTCGAATGGGATAGCCCCCAAATTTAGGATGGGGCGATCACAAAAACTTGGGATGAGATGTCCAACCTTCGGATGGGATAGCCTCAAATTTAGGATGAGGCGATCACGAAACCTTGGGATGAGATGCCTAACCTTCGGATGGGATAACCCCCAACTTTAGGATGAGGCGCTCAAGACCTATGGTATGAGGTGGATGCACACGGTTGTGCCATTGTTTCAGTGGTAGCACGAGTTGAAGATGAGCAAGTAGAAGATGATCTTGTTGAAGCTTCGGCGATCATACGCTGAAGGTCCTCTTCGGTTATCTGAACCGTTCGAGGGGGGGCGGAGGTAGGGTCCTAGGGAGTCGATAACCCTTGGCGAACAAAATATTTTGGGGGCACTGTAACCCCCCAGGGAGTCAGTAACCTTTGGCGAACGAAATGTTTAGGGGGAACATTAAACCCCCAGGGAATCGGTAACCCTTGGCGAACGAAATATTTTGGGGGCATAAGTAATTCCCCAGGGAATCGATAACCCTTAGCGAACGAAATGTTTAGGGGGAACATTAAACCCCCAGGGAGTCGATAACCCTTGGCAAACGAAATATTTTGGGGGCAGAGGTAAGCCCCCAGGGAGTCGATAACCCTTGGCGAACGAAATGTTTAGGGGGAACATTAAACCCCCAGGGAGTCGATAACCCTTGGCGAACGAAATATTTTTTGGCCAGAAGTAAGCTCCCAGGGAGTCCATAACTCTTACTAGCGTTGAAGGTCCTCTTCGGTTGTCTGAACCGATCGAGGGGCGGGAAGACGTGGATCCTATTGAGGATCTAGTGGGACATCCGAGGAATGTCTCGTGGTGGATCCCGAGCACGAGGAGGAGGAAGTGGCAAGCCAGAGCCTCCACGAGGTGCGAGGTTGTTAGCAGTCACACTCCCCCTGAGCAAATGTCTCAAGGCCATCATATGCGCTACGTGATTATGTCTGTCTTCCCACAGACGACGCCAAAATGATGATGCTAAAGTTAGATCACCATAGAGTGTTGAAGTAGGATGAGCTGGAAGAGCAGAGTGGATCACTGGCTCACGAGCTTGATGACCTTGAGATACCTGCGAAGAGAGAACACGTGAACTAAGCCGGGGGTTGATCCGACGGAAACCCCTCTGACTGCGTTCTGTCCAGGTCGGATTGTAGAAATAGTTGAGAGAAATATGACTCGTAGTTTTATTCAGATAATAGGACGTACCTTAAGGAATGAGTTCAAACCTTTATTTATACCTTAGTTGAGATTGTCGGGCCCAAACCTTACTTCAAGGTGATTGGGCCTCGGTGGTAGTGGTTTCACTATCGGGTTCGTGGCCCAGTAGGTAAAGAAATTGTAGGCCCTTTGGGTTGACCCAATTATGCATATCAATATATAATTATGGTTTTGATTATCAAAATTATGGACCAAAATTTAAGGAAGAATGAAATAATCCATATACTCTATAATGGAGTGAAATACGATTTACCTTATACATAATTATATTAAAAACATGGTTAATATGCTAGAGGTCCCTAGTTCGAAACATAATTATATATGGCATACGGCTCTAATATTTTTTTTCTGAACTAAATCCTGTTTACAAAAATAAATATGACCCACATCCTTTACTTTTTTTAATCCCAAATTTGCCCTCAATCTAAATCCATAAATTCTACACGTTTCTCTCAGATCTATTTTTCTTATTTTCTTCCCTCTTCTGTTTCTCTCGTTCTCGCTCGTTCCCTCTCTCTCTCTCGTTCTCATGCTCTCTCTCTCTCGTTCTCCCTCTCTTGTCTCTCTTTCTCCTGATCTCCCTCTCCATCACTTCTCACCATTGCTGAGGGGGCGATGACTATGGCACAACTATGGCGGTAGAGGCAGCGTTAATAAGGGGATGACTATGGAGGCAGGAGGCGACGACGACTATGGTGGTAGAGGTCAGATATACGGCGGATGGTGGCGGCTATGGCGGCTGAGTTTTAATTTTGGTCGACGACTATGGAGGCTAGGGTTTAATATGGTCGATGGCTAGGGTTTAATTTGGTCGATGACTATGGCGGCTAGGGTTTAATTTGGTTGATGGATAGGGTTTAATTTAGTCGGCGGCTAGGGTTGGTGGACGATTAGGTTTTTGCAGGTAGGGTAAGGTTTAATTTGGTCAACGACAATGGTGGCTATGGTATAATTTGGTCGATGGCTAGGGTTTAATTTGTTCGGCAGCTAGGGTTGGTGGACGACTAGGTTTTTGCAGGTAGGGTTTGGCGGTGGCTGAATTTATTGGCTGCTATGATTTAACTGTGGCTGAAAGATGTTGGAAGTTAGGGTTTGGCGGCCGCTGGGAGTTGGTGAATGATAGAGTTTGGAATAGTACATCGTAGCGTACCATAGCATATCATAGTATTTTTTTAAAATTTGCTGTATTATTTGACAAAAACAAAACTTCAGGTGTTTGCAGATAGATGACTACGACCGGAAAAAAATTAAAAAAAATTATAATTTTCAATATTATGTAGAAAAAAAACAGATTCTTATAGTAATGAAAAAAAAACATAAAGAGAAACATATTAAACGTAAAAAATAAAATAATAAAAATGCTAGATGCAAATTAAAAATGTTAAATAATACTATTGTACACCATAGTACATCGTAGAATATTTAATGTAATTTCGAATTTGTGAGTGGATGGACATTTTTGGAATGAATTTTGATAAAGAATGTGAAGCAAATTTTAATTAGGCTTGTCATTTAGTTCTAATAAGATTTGTCAACAGAAACTTATATTTAAGACCCCTTAAAAATATTATAAATATTTTATCTTATATTAAATAATTAAGATTTTACTTTCTGTATATATGAAATAGTGTATAGTTATAACATCTTATACCAAATTTTAAGGAGTATAAGAAATATTTATTATGATATATATGAATTTAACAGTTATCATAAATAATGAATTTTGTAATTAAAATTGACTTTTAATGTGATGTTATTAATGGAATATGTAATACCACATGTGCGATGAGTAGGATGTCAACGTGGATGTTAAAAGTCAAAATATTAAGCTATGAGGGTTTCAATTTATATATGGGGTTTTTATGCATAAGTTCCTGACCAACCATCTTTATCATTCTAAGTTTGAAGGGTTTATTATCTCTCTTTCGCCAATAAACTCATTCTTTTAATATGTATTATAAATAAAGGAAAAATTAATGTATATGACAAAATTACGCCCAACCTTTTAAATTAATTCATAATTGTTAGCCCAACCCAATTTAACTTCAATTTAATCATTTTTGCCACAAAAATCTAAATTTGACTTTTTATTTAAATATTTTATTTTCCTAACTTATTTTTTTCCCGCCGGTTTCCGGCGTTGACTTTTTAATAATTCATTTTTCTGTTTTCTTTTTCCACCGTCGGTTTCCGCCGTTGACTTTTTAATTTTTTTTTTTTCTAAAAAAATTATCCTTTTTTTATAACGCCCGCTGCTGAACGTTAACCGTAATTGTACTGTCACTAACAGTAATTATACTGTCGCTGACATTAATTGTACTGTCGTTGACAGTACATATACGTAATTGTACTTTCAATGACCGTACAATTACTGTCAAGCACAACAATATGATTATTTTTTTGGCTTTTTTTTTATTTTGTTTGATTTGTTGACAAGTCAACGTAATTATAATATTGTTATTGACGGTAAAATTATTGTAAACACAATATTATTACTATGAACCACATCAATAATATTTTCTTTCCCCCTTAATGTCTACTATTATATATAGTCATGTGTAGTCATATACATGATGTAGTCATATATAGTCACGTGTAGTAACTCGATATATAGTCACGTGTAGTCATATACATGTAGTCATATATAGTCATGTGTGGTCATATACATGATGTAGTCATATATAGTCACGTGTAGTAACTCGTAGTAATATATTGTTATATATAAGCTATATAAGTTATGTGTTTTTTCTGATGTATAGTGATATTGATGATTGTGCTTTTCCAATTTTTTGTTGGGTCTTAATTAATTTATAATATCAAGATTTAAATTGTGAATTTTTGTTTTTGGTGTAGATGAAGTTTTTTTTATATAATCATATGTAATATATATACAATAGTCATGTGTAGTCAATTTCAATACAGTAAATTTATCAAAAAATTGAAACAAAATTAAAAATTAAAATTAAAAAAATTAAAATTAAAAAAAATTAAAAAATTAAAAATACAACAGAGCTATATATAAAAAATAATAATAAAAAAATAATTTATAATTTTTTATTAAAAAAATCTGATAATATGATAAATGCAGGTCTAAATGCTAATTGCAGTTGACCATAATGTTGAATGCAGTTAGCAAAAATACTGAATGCAGTTGGGCAAAAATTGGATATAAGGGCACAATAGTACTTTTGCCTCCCCAGGGGTTATCTCAAAGGAAGAATTTTAGGGGTGGACCTATCCCTATATATTTTCCATATTAAGGGTGTATATCAAATGGACCCATTAATAAAAAATATGTGAATAGTGTAAGAGCAACTCCAATGGAGGCACTAAATGAGGTATCAAACTAAAAAACTACCACTTTGATGCTCTAAAATTAAAAAATCCTTCCCCAACGGAGGCATTAAATGGAGAATTATTTTGATACTCAACTACCCGAGGTGCAAAAATACTCCCTGGAAAATGAGGTATCAAAAATATAACCACTCCATTAACCTATCACAATTTGACACGTGGCATTTAAAAAAATAATTATTCATATATTTAAAATTTGATAATCTATTTGATACTCGTGGTTGGAGTGAATTTTTTTTCAAGAAGTATCAAAGTATTATATCAAGTATCAAATGAATATTTAATGCTCCATTTTGATATCTCCCATTGGAGTTGCTCTAAGGCAATAATTCATATGTTGTTATTTGAAGTTCGTTAAATAAATTACAAAATAATTCTTTATAATTCCAAGAGGTTCTCATAATTTATAAGTTCTAACCGGTTAAAACATCATTTGAAAATTTCATTAAATACCATGGATAATAATAGCTAAATAACATAGATACTGTTCAATAAAATATACCGCTGCATTAAAAAAATCAGAATTATCACTTGTCGCTTTTAAATAATTCAATATTTCAATTGTCGCTCCGATAAATAGTGTGATTTGGGTGCTTGGGGTATTGGGATTTGAATTCCAAGGAAATAATTAGATATCAAATTTCTAAAAATTGGAATTAAATAATTTGTTGAAAAAAAATTGGTCGAACGACCAATATTTTTTATTTCATTTATAGCTTTATAATCTAAAGTGTTAAGTGCACTTTGCCCCCCATACTTCCTCTTGTTTTTGTGTTTTGCCCCCAAATAAAAAAAAAAAATTGAACGATCATATACTTGGATTTACTAATTTGTTGCACCGATGACTTAAAAGTCCATTTTTGGCCAAAAAGTTCTCCGAGATGCAAACGTGAGAATGGAGGGACAATAATTTCGCCAAATCCCACGTTTTTTTAGAAATAAAGAAAAAAAGGATGAAGAAAAGGCATAAAGAAAAAAAGAAAAAAGCAAAAAATCCATCATCAACCAGACACCACCACCACCTCTGCTGCGCTGCTGCCGCACCACCGCCTGGAAGAAAAAAAAAAACCCTACCAAAAGACATCAATGGAGAGCTTGGGGAATCGTATGTGGCGGCGTCCAGCCTTCTCACAGTGGTCCGGCACCGAAGACATGAGATACTATGAGTCACCACCCATCGCCGTTAAGCAGAGAAAACCTACATTGTCACCACCCATCGCCGTTAAGCAGAGAAAACCTACATGATACCATTTCTACGTTTTAATGTTAATTTCTAAATTTAATTCAAAATTTATCGTACTGCTGAGATGAAATTTCAATAGATACATGATTAGTAAAGAAGAAACTACAACGCAAAAGAATTGAGTTTGGATTGGATTCAAACGCAAAAAAAAAAAAATGAGTTTGGATTTAAGACGGACCAAAAATTGAACCTTTGGATTCCTAGACGAAAGAGTGTGAGTTAACAAAGTTGAACATTTGTTTTTTGTACTCTGAAAATCGTGCGAGTTAACAAAATTGCCGCTCAATTCTCAGGAATATATGTAATTCAGGGAACTTTTTGGCCAAAAATGAACTTTTAGGTTACCGGTACAACAAATTAGTTAGTCTAGCTACGTATATTCATTCAATATTTTTGTTTGGGGGGCAAAGCTCGATCACGGCCAAAGTAAGGGAGACAAAAGTGCACTTCAAATGTTCCCACCGATAACAGATCGCCGCATCAAAATCTTGGAAGTGGCCGTCGAATTCGTCAAATGTTCAAAGACAATCTTCGTTTTATTTTTAAAAAATTAACCTCGTATGAAGACATTGTTAGATTGAAACACACTGCAATGAATTTTCAGTAATTTTCACTGCAAAGAAATGTCACTAAAAGTAAAAAATAAAAATAAAAAAAATAGACAAAGTTAGCCGTCTACAATCGCCACCCACGCGCCACCACTTTCATTCTAATATATATAATTATATATCAAGCAAAATAAAATTCAAACTTCAAAAGAGGGCAATTTTAGATACATACATCGTGTTTGATTTCTCTCACTAAAAATCGATTAAAAATCAACACAAAGGTACAATAATTAACCTCCACAACCACCACCACCACAACCGCCGCAACCACCACCGCACCCACCACCGCCATCACCCCCACCGCAGCAACATCCCTGTGAGGTACCGCCGCCGCCATCCCCACCTCCAGCGCCGCACCCGCCGCCGCCGCCGCCGGCGGCACCACCCCGATCACGCTGTTCACTTTCGTCGGCGGCCGCCGTCACGACGGCGGCCGTAGCAACTGTGGCGGCACATGCTCCTGCAAGAACGACCATATTCCCATCCTTCAAGCCATTACCCGGGCCGGACTTTCCACTCTTGCCATCATACCCGTAACTCCCCGGCGGAAACTGCGGCGGCGGAGGCGGAGGCGGCTGAGATTTGGGTTTTCCAACTGCAGGAAGCGGTTGAGTAGTATCAAAATTCCGCTCTTTCCGGCCTCTTGTGCGCACACAGCAAAACATTGTGGTAAGGGTTTGTTTTGAATTCTTGATTCAAAGAACTTCCTTTTCTTCTTTTTTTAAAGACAGATTTCAGAAGACAGAGTCATTTATGAATATTAATTAGGGTAAATTACACCACATTCATGAGGTATTTTAAAATAATTGTAAGGTCCCTATGATATCGATAATTACACTCACCCTTGAAACATAGTTAGAAACTCTAATTGAATAGTGCATTGGATGCGTTATTTCGATATTGTTTTAACGGACTATTAATTTAAGGGTGATTTAAGAAATGTTGGGGGAGCCATGTCACCCCTAACTCTATGTTGTTTCCACCACTAGCTAAAACTACTAGTCCATCAAAATTCTATCAGAATAACGTATTAAATGAATTATCCCATTAGAATTTCTAACTATGTCTCAGGGGAATGAGTGTAATTATTGATATTAGAGGGACCTTAAAGTTATTTAAGCATACCTCAGGTGTCTGTGTAATTTACCCTATTAATTATATATGAAATGTGGAGGAATTTCATTTGTAGTGTATCCGTCGTTTTCTTTTCTTGATTGGGATGAGTATTGATTACTAGCTGATTTCCCGCAGTAGACAAATGAGTGTTGTTGATCTGGATTACTACGCAAGTCCTTATCCGTGCTAGCTACTAGTTCACATTTATTAGCTTTGAATATTACTCCATTTCAATTAGGTTTTTCTATGGAATATTCCCACTTATTTTCCCAAGTCAAAGTCAACCAAAAGAATATCGTAATATGGTATTTTATAGTAACTTAGATGTTTTTTTTTTTTTTTTTTTTTTAAGTAAATTAGATGTTACACCTGTATTAACCATAAATCTGCACATAATTGAACATACCGATGCATATATGTGCTTAGTTGGAGGTTGTTTAATCCTATCTATAGTTAACACGCAATTAGTGTAAATAATCAGGTGTAACATCTAACTTCCCGGATTTCATATTTTTATGTCCCATTTTATGTGTCGTTTTTGTTGTTTTGTTCATACATTAAGAAAAAAAAAAAAGTAAATGTGAATACATAGCAAAAAATATATGAAATTGCTAAAATATTCTTGTGATTAATTATTTTTCAATTATTTAATTAAAAGTGATAAATGGTGAAATTGAACATCAAAACCTTGTCAATAAAGCCCGAATAATTACATTTTGCGTCCTCATAAACATGATTCAAAAGCGCAAAACTAGTATATGACCGTTCTTAATATATGGCATTAACTAATTATCTAATATAAAATATTTATAAAATAAAATTATAACATAAAAACTTTTACCGTATGTTACATCAGCAATAGTAAAAGCATTCAAAATATTTTGAATATACCTAACAAGTACAACAAATTTTTACTAATAATAGTTACTTCACATACTTTATTTTAAAGTTTAATTCCCAGCGGCCAGCACCAATTAACCGCCTCCGCCACCATGTCCACCGCCATCGTTTTTACTAACCGTAACGGGGTTGACTTTGGGCGGCGGAGCATCATCTTTTTTCATCTCTTCCGTCGGAGTTGGAGTAGTAGTAGTAGCACTATTTTCTCCCTTCCTAGTACTACCGCCGCCTTCTGTAGACGTAACGATATTGACTTCGGGTGGTGGTGGAGTCGCGCTATTTTTTCTCCTACAACTTCCGGTTAAACAACGAAACATCGTTAGCGTACGTAATAATAAACGTTAGTTTGGTCACTGAAAAGGTAACGTTTATGTTACTATGTATTTATAAACTAGACTGATATTGATTAATTAATGATAAAAATATATAGGAGTTAAATACATCCACGGCAAGTTTAATTATAGGATCAGAAATCAAACACTGATTTGATTTCGGCATGGCCATTCCTATAAAACTCAAAATTACAGTATGTAATTATTAAATGATTTCATAATTAATTTTAGCATGTGAATGCAATATATCTTCCAAAACAAAAATGACAAACCTGAAGTTGCATATATTAAATTGCAAATCTGAATTATGGCAAAATTTGGAATTTATCTTTGAGAAAATTGCACTAAGACCCTTGTATTATTTCAAAACTTTTTAAAATTCTCGAAAAGTTCATCCAAGCCTAATTTAACCTATTTACTGACCAATGACTCCAAATTTTACCTCGATTTCAACCGCCGTGATTTTTTTTTTTAAAATCTTTTTTTCTGGTGTTGACTTTCTTTTTCATTGGGTCAACTTTTTTTATTGATTTCATTTTACCGTCGTTGACCGATATTGAATTCCGGTTGACTGCATTGAATTTTTCATTCTTCAATTTCTTTTTACATTTCTGAGAAGCAGGAAAAAAGACAATTTAAAAAAGTCAAAACAGATAACCAGCGGGAAAAAATAATTTCATTAAAGAAATTCAAAAAACAATTCGAAAACAAATTGAGAAAGAAAAAAGTTAACGCCACTCAACAAAAAGAAAAAAGTTTAGAAAAACATCAAAAAAAAAAAAAAATTAACGGCCGGTGTTGGCCCCAAAACCGTTATAGTAGAGTGGTTGCCGGGGTTTCAAATTATTCCGCACATGCCTAATTCATCTTCTTCATAGTTGTTTGAGAATAAATTTGGGATGCGCAGGTGGTTCCTCAAAGAGAAATTTGAGAGGAAGAAATTAGTGGTTTTTAAGAATTTTTAAATTGTTTGGTCCTAAATGTTTTTAAAAAAACTTTATTAGTAGTTTGAAATTTTAAAATTATGATGCTAGACATTCATAGTTATTGTGTTATACAGTAATAATATTATTACTGTGTTGATGGGAAAAAAAATATTAATTAACCAAAAATTCAAAGTCGGTCGACGATGGCAAAAAAAAAATTATTAAAAATAAAAAGTCAAACCCAAAAAAAAGTACAAAAAGAAGAAAGAAAAAAAAAACTCAACGGGGTTGGGTCAGTGATGACGGTGGTAAAAATCGGGGTTATTGGTCAAAATTAGTTAATTGATAAAATTGATGTTAAATTAGGGTTGGATGAATTTTAGGGTTTTTTAGAAAGCTTTTAAATAATACAGTGGTCTTGTTGCAAATTTTATAAAGAAAAATCCTTGATTCATTTGCTGACTGTTATTTGTTGACGGTCAAACAGACTGAGTCACTCAATGTGGAAACATTAGAGTGTATGTTTTGTTGACGACGATAAACAGGGACCAAAACGTGCAAACTTGGAGGACTAAAACTATAATTATCACGAGTAAGATGAGTTTTACACTGATGGCACAGTTAAGTAGTTTGTGACCGGGCCACGAGTTATGAATTTTTATTGGACAATTTTTTACGCTAAATAACTCAACAAAATGGTCCGCGCTATAACATTATGAGTAAAACTTGGCAGAAGAAAAAAGAGTAAAACTCATCAACTGAGTGAAATCTATTGGGCAAATGCGTAATTAGACCTAACCTCAAGGGCATACATTATAATTTATCAAATATTCGAGAATTAGTTTTAATTCACCCTCAAGGAAAATCAGAAATGAAATGTATTCCAGAAGTTAGACCCAAGTACCCCATAAATTTAATTTCAAAATAATTTAGTTTTTTACAATTTCTGACTACGCCATGTAGAAAATATTCTATCAAATCATTGATGTCACAATCGACGATATATATATTAATCCACAGCCTCAGGGGTAGTTCGTTTCAGTCATCACCACCGCACCCGCCACCGCAGTCTCCACCACAGCCTCCACCGCCACCGTCAGAATCACCTGCCGCCGCATCAGCAGCAGCAGCAACTACTGCGACGCCAGCAGCACCTCCCAAAACCACCATATCTCCCTCCTTATTAGTGCCGCCGCCTCTTTCACGACCCATCTCCACATCAGCACTACGAGCTACTTGTGAAGGCGGCGGCGGCGGCGGCGCCGCAGCTGCAGTACTCCGCCAGATGGGCCTCGGCGCCGCGGGTGTGGCCGGCGGCCGAGCTCTTCTTCTGGACCTAAGAAAATCTTCACAGAAAGTTAGACAACGAAAAGCGAACCATATTGTAAAAGCAACGCCAACAAGAGAAACGTATACCCAGAAAAGTATGATCGCAACTTTCATTGCACTTTGATTATTATTATTATTTTCTTAATTACACAACTGTTAAAAAGGTGGAGGAATCAAAGTCTAGATCTAGCACCAAGAATAAGATATACCAAATCTTCTTTCTTTTATGATCTCGTTGACTTTACAAGTCAACTCATATGCCTTGTGATCTTAATGCGTATTTTAATCCATAAATTAATTAATTACGACTTTTTATGTTGGAAAAATTAGTAAGCTAAGTCCCTCATCGTCTAACAAATTCATGTATGTGGGACCCTTATTTTTTTAATAATTTGAGAAAACCCTTTTGATTTTGATATACCCCTCCTAAAAAAATTCAATTTTCTTACATGCCCTTTTCAGAACGCTAATCTCATTATGCTTTTGTTTCTCTCCTTTCACGTCTTATTTATTATCTTCTCTTTTTTTTTTTTTTCTCGTTTCTCTTTTACCACCCGAATTCATAGTTTGTTCTCCTTCTTTCCGAAGATGAAGAACCAACACCACCGGCGGATGGTGGAGGTTGGTGACGGGGCTTCAGGCAGAACTGAGTTGGATCGAAAATTAAATACATTTTAGTAGGAATTTTAATTCAATTTTGGATTTGTGTCTATCAATTCCTTATTTAATCACATGTAATTTAACTTGGGATCATAACTGTGGTGCTTTTTTGTTTTGTCATTACCAATTCGTATAAATCAATTACAGTTTTTTTATATTTGTTTTTTCATTTTTTTTTTGGTTGGTTGTTATTGTTAAGATTCTTCAGTTGAATTGTATTGGGTTTCATTAACATCATTACAATGTTTTTGATAAATTTTAGTTGTCAATTTCACCATTCAACAACGGTTTTAGTAGCCGATCTCTTAATCGATTATGTTTTAATTGATTGATATAGTAGTCGATTAATATACCTGACTGACAGAGAAAAAAAAGTTAAAAAAAGAAAAAAAAATTATAAAA